CGACCTTGATTGCTCAACCTCATGCTTAGAAATTACGCATGAAAGATCTTGGGGGCGTCCAAAACGATGTGGACTACCCCTGCAGTGGAATTAAAAAGCCAGCACGAAGTGCAAAGGTGCATTTTTGATTCCTGAATTCCACGAAGATAGAATTATCGGATGGAACTTGCACGTCAAACCAGAGCTTGGGGGCGTATGACATGATCATATAGGTCGAAATTCTCTCTGACTTAGGTTCCAAGTTCGATTTCACTACCATGTCAGTGGAATGGGACGGCCTATCTATTCCTATGAAAGATAGCCACACCAATGGAAGAAGAAAACTTTTCATTCCTGATCCTACCGCTGTCGATGACAGTGCAGACCGTCTCAAGAAGATTCTTTGATGCGAAATACGAACAAGCTGACTTAAGCAGGTTTGCCAAAGTCAAGATCAGTTAAACACGGAAGAGAAGGAACAGCTTCACTCCTTACTGACAAAGTACTCTGACCTATTCGATAGCACTTTGGGAAAGTGGAATGGACGACTATTAAGTAGAACTTCTCCCTGTTGCTAAACCCTATCATGCAAGGGCTTACCTGATTCCACGGGTCTATACCAACACTCTTAAGATGGAGTTGAACGTCTCTGCGAAACAGGAGTACTCAAGAGCGTAAACCGTTCATGGGCGGCACCAACTTCTATCATTCCAAAGAAAGACGGATCTGTGATTCATCTCTGATTTCAGCGAACTGAACAAAAGGATTAGGCGGAAGCCTTATCCTATCCCAAAAATTCAGTACATGCTCTTGAATCTAGACGGATTCAAGTACGCTACTAGTCTAGACCGAAACATGGATACATCACATCGAGCTGTCACCTACCTCGAAGCAACTCTGTACCATCGTTCTCCCGTGGGGAAAGTACGAGTACCAGAGGTGTCCAATGGGCCTATGTAATAGTCCGAATCTTCAAGAGAGATCGGAACACTAATGCGATGACTTGGAATACGTGCGTGCATACATTGATGATCTACTAATCCTAACTAACGGCGATCTAGCAGATCACATTGAAAAGTTGGATGAAGTTCTCCGAAGGCTCCGAGAAAGCGGGACTCAAGATCAATGCTTCCAAGTACTTCTTCGCAAGAGGATAACTTGAGTACCTAGTGTACTGGCACTTTACTCGAGAAGGATCCAACCTATAACCAAGAAAATAGACGCGTTCAAGAATATCGCTCCTCCTACCAACAGGAAGGAACTCCCTAGATTCATTGGACTAGTGAACTACTAACGAGACATGTGGATTAGACGATCACATCTACTGGCCCCACTCGCTTCGTTGACTTCCCAAAACAACGAAGTGGAAATGGAAAGCCTAAACACGACAAGGCCTTCAGCCAGAATGAAGAAGATCATCAGCAAAGAACCTTGCTCGCCTACCCTGACTTCAACAATACATTCGTTATCCACACGGATGCGGATGATACTCCAACTAGGTGCAGTAATTTTCCAGAAGGGAAAACCTATACCGTTCTACAGCAGGAAACACAACCCTGCTCAGACACGTTACACAGTTACCGAGAAGAAACTTATCAGTATCGTAGAAAATCTGAAAGAATTCCGTAACATTCTTCTAGGGACAGCAGATCGTTGTACATACGGACCACAAGAATCTTACATGTAAGAACTTCAATACCGATCGCGTAATGCGGTGGCGCATTATTCTGGAAGAATAAGACCCTGAACTACGGTACATCAATGGTGAACAGAACATCGTCGCCCATGCGTTGTCGAGACTTAACATCTCTAACAACGCAGGTTCTTCAGAACAGATGTACGCCAGCGAGATCGCTGTGCTCATGGCTGCAGACGAGAAGGACTTCCCTACTGAGTTTCCCTCTCGTTCCCCTGAATATCAGAACATCGTCAGAAAGACGACAACGCAATCAAGAAGCCTCCTCCAGGGACAAGCCAAACGACTACAAGAAGCAAGCATTTCCCAGAGGGAATAAGTCCTACGACTTAGTAGCAAAGGACGAGAAAATCGTCGTACCTTAAAACTAAGCAGAAGAAGCTAGATGAATGGTACCAGGTGTGTCTGATGCATCCTGGGAGACTCGCACGGAACTAAACCATCCAGCCAACACTACACGGAAAGGCTCGCAAAGACTGTGCAGCCTTATGTCAGGTTGCCAAAGTGCCAGATGAATAAACCCAAGACGCGTAAGCGGGATTGATTGCCTCAAAACTTGCGAGGAGATCACCTTGGGAAAAGACTATGTATTGACCTGATAGGCCCTTACAACGCGGGGACCCTAAGAAAAAGAATTCCTGCACATCACCATTGCATGACAATGATTGATCCCGAACCGGATGGTTCGAGGATTGCAGAGATCTGCTCCAAAGCCAGCAGACGAGTAGCCATCCCTAGAACAAACGAAACGTGGCTTACTCGGTATCCATGGCCTGCTGAGGTTATCATGGATAGAGGACGTGAGTTCCGCGCAGAGGTCGAAAAGACACTCCGGGATGAATATGGACTTCGTCGCAAGTTCATTACCACACGTGTTCAATCGTGACGCGATTCACAACGCCCGTTTCGAAGTAAACTGGAAACACATCAAAGAACGTCGCCAACGACTCATCCAGAAAAACCATGATAAGGAAAACGCGACGCGTGTCCCTCATCAATACAATGTCAACGATACTGTGAGGTTTCAACAGTATCAGCACCGCAAGTACGGTCAACCAAAGTACAAAGGTCCTTACAATATAGACCGAGTCAATAACAATGGCACTGTACGGCTCCGACATGCTACCGCCAATGGCGGCACAGTCTACCAGACTTGGAACATAAGGTATTTACACCCATACAAGGCCTGATCCCCTTGTAGGATTGCCATCGTGCGACGCACATGTCTACATCCAATCTCCGGAGAGTGCCCCGCACTTTAATTCATATGTTCTCCTTGTCCGACTGATGTCGTGCCTTCTGTGACCCTTGTCAGGGGGCGAATGCAATACACGGCTCTTAGCCTTATTCGCGACTCGATCCTAGATAGGGTTTGAGTTCGACTCATGACCGAGTCTCTCGTGAATAGTTATTGAGACAGGGTTCTCAATGACCGCTCTAGTCATACTAGGTTGATGATGAAACATCGCTCTAGATATTTAGCCAGCGTGGAGTACTTCCACGCTACTAGATCCATGCTAGACGAATCTTCCACGCGTTCCGTTTTAGGATCGTGGAGATACGTAGGATTACTACCGCAACCTACTCTATCACACTTTATAGTCTCCCGCGGGAGACCAGATCTACGATCCTTTGATGGTGATCTCTCTCGTTGATTAGTTTTCATAGCTTTCTAATCTCTCTCATAACTAAGACTGGGCGAATAAGATCGAGCGTCATTTTGCGGTTGACGGACAGGCAACGGACGATGGTCAGAAAAATTAAAAAGATCGCACATGTAGACTTTGAGCGGCGCGCTAAGGTGCGAAAGAAGTAGTTTTGGGTCATTCTTGACACGTTGTTATTCACTTTTATATAGAGAGTAGCACACCCCCAGAATCCCCGCAGAATTCTCCTTCTTAAGGCGTTCACGCCTCGCCAACTACATTTTTACGGTGAACGACGGACAGACGCTGGTGATCGATCTTATTCGCCCTGTCTTAACTTTCATTCTCTCAAACACAAAACACTCGAAAGATCTTTACACTAGCTTTTTAGCGTAGTGCACATTGATAAACGAAGTGGCGGGGGTAAAGCTTAGAAATTTCTCCCTTGAAAATTCCAACAGGCAGATCAGGGTCAAGATATTTCAGATCATCTTGGATACCGATTTGAGAGGCTGCTAGAATGCAATTCCTCCCAGTCTACAAGGGCGCTGTTGATATTTCTAAAAAGTTGGGCAAACTTGCCTCCCCTGGGACTATCCTGAGAATGCAATAGTCCAAACGATGGTCAACCGCAGAAATTCTTAATTGTCGTACAATATTTTGGTTTGGCTTGCCAAAGTGACACAACAGTTCCATGCCAACTGTCGATTCAGGGAAATTGTGGGCTACACTGTAGACGGTTGTTCCCGAGACAGCAAAGCCGGCTCCAATCGGCCTGTTTTCTTCGTCTGAAAAAAAGCAAACTGCGCCGGTTAACTTCTCGTACACGCCCTGTCCAAGGATATTGTCGTCTTCGTCACCTACTTGTTTCTGCTGCTGCTGCTGCTGCTGCATCTTCAGCTTGTTCATCAATTCCACAGCGAGAGCGTCTTCAATACCTGCTCCCTGTAAAATTTCAACAGTGACATTGAGGAGTCTCGAGGGTTTGTTGAATTTCTTCTCGAACAAGTTGTCCGCTGCTTCGACAGCATCATCATCGTCAACCCCTCGACTTTTCAACCAGTCTTCTAGTTCATCCTTACTCTTGAACTTTACCTCGGCAGTCTATCTGCCTGAGCCCTCTACCCCTTTTTCGGTATTTCCTATTTCCTAATTCCTATTTCCTATATCCTATTTCCTATTTTCTATTTCCTATTTCCTATTTCCTGTTCCAGTGAAGCCAAAATATAGGGATAGAGATAGGTGTAATTCAACAAAACTGGAAATTGAATGTTCTACAAATTTAGGGGTAGGAATAAATCATGATTATTCAAGGTTAGTGCACTCAACACAATAAGCCAGCAGAAACAGGTACACACGGGAGTGACAGCTGTAGAATTATGGTTAGCGGGCGGCAACACACGACGAAGTTGGGTGTTGTCGCCAGGGCTAGCTTAAATTAAAAAGAAGGTTATAATGAGGGAATGATACCGGGCGGCAACACACAACGAAGTCGGGTGTTGTCGCCAGGGCTACCTTTAAAGAAGGGTACAATCTCAAACAGATCCTCTTTCTTCTATTTGTGCGTCTTTCTGCCGAGGTACCGCAGCTCCCGCTGACTTAATATCCTTTTCCATCCTGGACCGAAGGAACGATGAACGGTACCGGTACGTGTACTAGTAGCGACGAAATGTGGTGGTTGAGCGTTGCTGCAGTCAGTTTTGATTGAGTCGTTTTCACGGTTTGTTAGAAAACCCCTACAATTATTGTTACTTGAGTAAAGTTACTCACCGAGACCCTAAGTACCCAGTACCGGTACCCCCAACCCCTAAGTCAAACCAGTACCAGGAGAGATAATGCTAGCCCGCCGAATGTGTACTCTGGGTGTTATTTGGCCTGGGTTTGCTTCTTCGGCAGGAGTGTTATGTTTCTTATGTATTTCTGTTACCTTTCTGTTGGGCGGAATCTGTATC